AATAAACCATACCTAATCTTTATATTAGGTAGGGGGACTTGTCGGTCACACATAAAATGTTCGCAGGCCAAATGAAAGTCACGATCTTTTATTTTGCATGATTGGGTTCATCGTCTAGGTATACAATTATCTTTTGGGAAGGTGTATTATTCGAGGTATCAGATACGATTATGCGAACTATTAGACGAATGAGATCCATTCGGTCTCATTTTTCAAAATTAAAACACACTATTTAAAAAAAAAATCATATACCCTTTTATATTAAATTAAACTTAAAAATTATTTTCAAAATTAAAAAGTTGACCGACAAATATTGTTATAAAATAACAATTTTGGGATGATTAAACTTAAAAGATAATTCCTGTATGAATTATCCTAATTATGGATATTAACTTTAAATAAAGGCTTTTCCCAGCAGTTAGAAAATTTAGAATGATCCTTATTTGTTTTGATAATTTCGCTCTTGATCAAAGCATAAAAAATTAAAAAGTTAAAAAGTAATAATGATAAGAAGATTTTGATTCAATCATTTATTTTCTAGAGCCTTAGATCTCTTTTGTATGGTTTCCGATTACTGATTAGCTCATCCTTATGACTTATGACAATTTCCTTTTCTTTCTCAACTATGTGATTTGAGCATTATCATCGTTAATAGTTTTCATGGATAAATGAGGTTGACAACAATTTCTTTGAGCTTTTCAAGATCTAAAGGTCATAAAGATCTATTCCTTGGATGATGGCTCTTGCCATTTGGACAATTTAAATCATGTGAAATCATAACTTTAGGTGGAAGAGGGATAAGTTTCTAATGTCTTGGCTTTACAACATTTTTATATTTAGCAACTAATACTTTTAAATTTTTCTATAAGATAATAGAATATATATATGCGACTTAAATAGGGTGTGGGGCCGCTTTTTTGCGGCTTCGCGACCCCGAGTCGCGAAAAAAATTTGTTTGGCTCGGAGCTTCGCGGCAAAAGAAAGTTAAAGCGGAGGAGAAGCGGAAAGCGGTCTCCTCCCCGAGGCACAACTTTCGCAGGGTGAAAAGGCTTGTTTTGCCTCTCGCAAAAAACCCTCGTCCCGCCCTCTTCTTCCTCCGAATCCCGCGGATCGCCCTCCCGCGTGCGAACTTCCTCTCAATCTCGAATCCCGTGGATCGCCCTCCCGCGCGCGACCGGATTCTTCTTCCCCTCTCTTCTTCCTCGTCCAGGACCGCAGCCCTCCCCGCTCTTCTTCCGCGTTCTTCTTCCCCGCTCGTCTTCCTCGACCAGCACCGCAGCCCATTCTTCTTCCCCGCGTTCTTCTTCCCCTCTCTTCTTCCTCAACCAAGATCGCAGCTTCCCCCGCATTCTTCTTCCCCGCTCTTCTTCCTCGGCCAGGACCGCAGCCCGTTCTTCTTCCTCGCTCTTTCGCGAGTATATGATCAATTTGTTTTTATTTATTTATTTTTGCCTTAGTACATAAGGATTGAGTGGTATGGATGTGAATACCCCTTCTTTTAATCAATCCTTTGCAACTGTTTCTAGCATTGCAGTTTATCATTATGGTACTTTTACATTGGTTGTTTCTGTATACATTTTCTGAAAGCATTTTCATTTAGAAATCCTTACAGGTTATAAGGCAGTTATGGAAACAAGTAATTAGCAGAAGCAATGACTGCATGTTTTTATGAACATTACATTTTTTTGGGAAATTTGCATTCATATCTCAGAAGAATGTTTAGAATTGAAATGGGAAAGTGTTTATTATATTTTTCAGAAGCAATAGCTGCATGTTTTTATAGCAATGGCTGACGGTGGACTTCACTGTTCTGTTGAAAATTGTAGATGGCAGCTGAGAGGCAGCTTTCAGTAGCCCATTGGTTGGCAATATATGCGGTTGAAGCCTGTCTTGGTTTCTTTTATGTTTTCAGATGATTCACATATGATCTATCAAAGGATGTTGGAGCCCTTTAAGTGTTTAGATTAACTGCTTCACCCTGCAAAGGAATTATATTACATAAATGCAATTGAATTCTCAGACAATTATTGATCTATAATCTAAACTTTGATCTTTATTATAAATGTTTTAGAATTCTTACATGACCAGACAATTTCTATGTATTGACTTGTCCAGCACCTGAACACTTCCGTGTCCTGACCCCTCAAAATTCTTGGTATTTCCCATTAGCTCTGTTGTAAATTTGGCCAAACTTGAATCTTATTATGCGTATTTCTCGCAAATGAGCGTAATGCAGGAATGTTTGGCTAATTAAAGGTATTATGTGTTACATAGATGCAATTGATGTAAGCTATTTTCTGGATGTAAGCTCTGCGAAATGAATATACAATGCATATTTGAATTCAATTTTCTGTTATTTTCTGATATATTCATTTATTTTCTACTCTGCAAAATGGATGTACAATGCAGATTTGAGATATTGGTAGACAAACAAGCACTTCTTATTCCATGATGCAGTTGTAGGGAGTTGTTTATTGGATTTGCTGCTTGAGATATTAAAATGAATTCAAGATTCTGATTCTACAATTTCTTGTTAATTCATGGAGCTGTTTTAAGCGTCTTCATGTGGAAGGTAGAAAAAAGAGTGGATCTTTGCTTAACAGTTGCTTCCGTGGGTCCCTAATAAAGAACTTATTGGTATATATGTTCTTTGATGGAACAAAGAAGAATATGAGCTTCTGATTCTCAATTTCCTTCCCAATTTTCTATAATTTTCAAGCAACCATATGAGTTGTTTGCAAATGCCACAACAGGGTAGTATGGTCATTTTTCCTTAAACAGCTGCCTGATAGTTGGTTTCACACAGCTGCACCAAATAGACGGTCAGCTTTACCACAGTTGTTTCCCCGCAGCAGCTTCCTGGGGCAGCGCAGCTACAGCTGAAAAGCTGAGAAGCTACAACTGCGCCAAACAGACCTTAAATAATAGACCCAAGATGCATTTCACACCTTTTATTGATTTGATCACCTATAGTTACAACTCTATCACTAGAGCTACTACTAAAATTACATTTCATTTATTCAATTTTAATTCTACTCAAACGAAGGCCTTTAGACTCAAATGTAAACCTACATAATTCAAGTTTTTCCTAAACTTTTTCTCAAATCTTATCCCTAAGAAGGATATTATCAGCGAAAAGCATACACCAAGGTACATCCTCCTATAAATGTCCAGTAAGAGCATCCATGACAAAAGCAAAGAGATATGGACTTAAAGTCTATCTTTGATGCAATCCAACTGAAATAGAATATTACTTGGTCAATCCTCCTCCTGATCAAAAACATATAACAACTCTAGTATACAGATCTTTAATGGCTTGAACATAAGTCATATCAACACATTTCTTCTCTAGAACTCTACACTATTGGAAATATATCGTAAGCTTTGTCTAAATAAAAAAAATCACATATTGATCCTCCTTATTCTCTCTATACTTCTCTATCAAATATCTCAATAAATGCATAGTTTCATTTATTGATAAATATATTGTTTTAATTTAATTTGATTAGTGATTTTTTATTTGTTAATAGTTTGTTACAGAAAATAAATATGAATAGTTGGATACTTCATGAATTGTGAGATAGATGTATGTCAGTTACTCGAACATGAGCTTCAAAAAATTGTGGCTGAACTCCCTCTTTCTCTTCCGGTTGTACTGTTATTGCAGTGTTGATTATTTTATCATTTGTTAATGTGTATGTGGCAAAATTGGGTGAGCTGTTTTTCTTAACTCCTTCCATCAATTGGTTATTAGAAGGAGTAATTTTTTTATTCAAAGCTATGTATTTTCTTCTTCATTGCCATAATAAAATGTTGGCTTGCTTCCTCGTGGATGTAGGTCAGTTTGACCGAACCACGTAAATTGTTTGGTGTCATTTTTTACATGTCAATTTCGTTATTTAAAATGTTTGTTTCATTCTGATGTAATAATCATAACTGTTTTGCTTTTATATCAACTGACAACGATGATCGGTTTATTATATATTATATCTCTAACACTTCAATTTTATTCCTTAACCATAATTAATTTCACATATTTACGTAATTAATTTTACATATTTACATATTAATTTTATTCCTCAAATATTTTCATTATACATTACATATTTACATTTAACTTCATTAATTTTATGCGACTCAATTCTTTCGTAAGACCTCCAAAATAATATGCAAATATTAGTAAAACATCAAAGTTTATGTGTTAGATATGTAAATACATAAGATTAGCATATGTGTTCTTATTCCTAAATAGAAGTTGTTAGCACTTTGGTAGCTTACTGAAGTTTAAAAAAAATGATTATATTCTTTTAAACAGTTTTACCAAACAGGGGTAGTATGATCTTTTTTCCTTAAACAGCTGCCCGACAGCTGGTTTCACACAGCTGCACCAAACAGAAGGTCAGCTTTCCCACAGCTGCAGCGCAGCTACAACTGAAAAGCTGAGAAGCTTCAGCTGCGCCAAACAGACCCTTAAATAGGCAAAAATCACTTTTTTAACTTCCCATTCTTATTTCCCTCCCCCCGTTTCACCCGCTTCTTCTCCTTCTCTATTCAGTTTCTCGACTGCTCACTTCTTCCTGACTCCTCGCTTCATATCTCGTTCGACATTTCGTTTCTTCTCCCTGGGTGAACAGAGTGTTACAGGTAGTTCCTGGCTGTGCAGCTCATATCCACCCGACTCCTAAAAATAAAAATAATACATTACCATTATTAGAAGTTGTGTATAACATCATGGTTTTCTGTAGTGTTTGGTTTTCTATCGAATATTATAAATACAAGATAACTTCATGATCCACTTTCATGTATATGGTTTTTGTTTATTGCTCAATTCTCACTAATTGATTTGATTAATTACTGCTCTATATATATTGTTTAGACGCGAATGATTCATTTTTAAATCTGTTTCTCACTTATCCTACGTAATAAGGGCAAAGTTGCTGGGCTTTGTCTGCTGTAAAGTTAGTAACCTGCATAAAGGACATTGTGTATTTATTTTCCAGGATGGGATGCATTACATGATATATACTCCTTCAGACCCATTACTTTTTGTTGCCATCAAGGTATTACTTTTCTGAGCACTTCAGATACTTGAATTTTGACTTATTAATTATCTATCTTTACTTGCTTTCTGAATATCTCTTCGAAAAATCATTTGATTTTCCGGATTCTTGAATTTTTACTTGCTTTAGAAAGATAATGTTAATGGCCCCAAGCTTCCTTCAATTCGATTTACGTTTGTGCCTGCAGGATAAGAACGGTATTTTGCATATTGCTGAGGATGTAAGAAATATATTTAACCCTCCATTATTTTCTTTGTCAAACCATTAAAAAGGTTTTATTTTCTGTTCAAGTTCATATTTTTACTTTGAATGGACTCGTATTTGCTTTACGTGGTTTTGTTTTTGATACCTCCAAGGAAAATATTTCACTTCTATTATGCAATAGAGTATAAATGGCTGTTAACAGTATTTTTTATTCTTTAGCATTGAAGACCCGGAGACACTGATTTTAAGTTTCACATATTCTTTTATGGAAATGCTTCATATTTTGATTAGGAATTGTGGATACATAGAACTTTTCCCGCTGCATGGAATCAGAGATATATGCCTAAATGTGTAGAAAAAAAAAAAAATTTACCGAGAAAGCATATTGTTACGTGCTTTTATAATGTTATCTTGTTGGAGTAAAAAAAAAAATTATGCTTTCACTAAATAATTTTTATAAGATCATAAAATGTAAGTAAGTTAAGTGTTGCCGAGATGAGAATGATTAGGTGGATGAGTGGTTTTGCACTTAAAGACAATGCGAAATGATTATATCTGTGATAGGGTTGGTGTAGCTCTAGTGACGAACAAAATTAGAGAGAGTTGTCTTAGATGGTTTGGTCACATTTAAACATGGACCATCTGATGATCCGATTAGAAGAATGAATGTTTTAGATTCGAATTATGCTAAGAAAGACAGGGATAGACCTAGGAAGACTTGAGCATATTGTATAAAAAATGATCTTAATTTATTAGAATTAAATGAAAATATGCACTAATAGGACACAATGGAGCAAAAGAATTCATGTAGCCTACCCCACTTAATGGGATAAAGGTTTTGTTGTTGTTGTTGCTGTTGTTGATCATAAAATGTAAGTAGGTAATTTTTGTGATAAAAAACAATTTATGTTTTTGGGACAAAATAATATTTAATTTTTCATAGATTTTTTTTTGGAAATCTACAAGTTTAAATTTAATCTTGATCTAGAGTTTAAATCACGAGGATAAGAGAGGGCGGGAGGTTGGGAGGTTTTTTTTTTTCCTCCAATATTAGGCGGTTTGAATACAAATTGAAGCTGCACTCTCATGTGCAAGAACTCTCCTTTCCCAAGTCAAGCTTCCCATCATTTTTGCATGCTACTTTTGCTTCTTGCACCGTTAAAATCACAGCCGATGCTTCCGCCGTCGGCATCATTATCATTGCTTCTGCTGACAACATTGCCATCGCAGCTTGTTGCCTCCAATATAGCAATAGCAAATTAATATCTTCAGTCAATTAATATTATAAGAATAGTCATATGTATCATAACACGATTATAACGTAATAACATTACACGCTTTGTAAGAAATATCAGCTTGCATTCATTCATTCAATGCATATATTCATTCACAATATACAATAAATTATAAATGCATTCGTGTCAAATTGAAAACTATGTAAAAACCTATAGAAGATTATTTTTCTTATGTTAACACAATATTATTTCTCCTTATTTGACAGAGCAGTCCTACGATGAGTTTCCTCACCCTCACTTCAATCTCGCTATCTCGTGTAAACAATCTTGAATTTTTAGACAACTTAGTGTTTCATTAAAATTGGCTCATAACGTGCATGCATGATACCTTAAGTATATAGGCTACCCTCCACAAATTCATTAACCTTTAGCCTTGTATAAATCAATATATATTTGATCTCATTTTTACTTCTAAATCTAATAAGCTTCCATTATTCTATTTATCCACTCTAATACCATTTTCTGTCTCACCCCAATTGGCTCCCATTTTAAGGGTCGAGTGAAGTGCGATAGAGGTGAACAATTCAATCATGGTAAATTCTCACAAACACTCGTCCTGATTCTGCAATTCATGAAGAGTGTTGGTAATGATTTAGTGTGGCCGAATTGTCTGCCTCAATCGCACTTCAGTCAACTCCTAAAGGGGAGCTAGTTGGGGTGTGACACTGAGACCATCTCAAGACTTATGCCTCGCTTCACAAAGAGAATACTTCTCAATAACCAATTGCGTAATTTTAAACATTGATTAATTATTGTTTCTATATTTTCTCTTCTATCTTTCCATAGGATGGATCTATGCCTTATAGCAATTTTTGATCTCGACCTAATACCAATCCAAGCTGCTATTCTTAAGAGTGCTCTACCCCCATTTGTTTGTCTCGATGATTTCTCTCCTCTCCAATACTATTTTTATTTTTCTTCATTCATGATTCCTTTGTTTATGCTTTACCATTTTCTTACTCTTCATCTCCATATTATTGCTTCATTGCTCAACTTTGACAACCGCTTCTGCTTTCTCTACAACCCTTTTCTTCTTTGGAGGATTAATTTCTTATGCCTAAACTTACCCCTTTCATTGTTTTCTTAGGGCCTTCTCTGGCTTCAGCATTCTTACATTGTCGGCTCAATCTTCTCTAAATTTGAATTGAATATCCATTTTCTAAATTTTATTGTCTTCTAACCTTTTTAATGTTTCCTTTAAAGCTCCTGCTTGCAATGAGGTCAATTTTTAAACTAAAGAAATCCATGTTGGTTCTTTTTCGTGATGTTTGGCTTGGTAGTTTATTGTATCGCTAATTTGCCCTCTCTGTCTGCCTTTTGGCTTCAATCCAAAAATTATTGAAAATCAAAAGTTCTACTAATGTTATAGTTATGGCTAATGGCTTCTTATGATTTAAACTCTCCTCCGAAAATCTGAATCATGTTTAGAGCAATGACTCTTGTTTTATTTTGCAAAATCCTTGATATTGTTAGGAATTGTTTGGGATCAATTTTGTTTTTTTTTTTGTTTTTAAAAACATGTTTGTTTAATGTATTTTTTGTATGTTTTTATTTTTTATTTCTAAAAAATAAGGTAATATTTTTTTTGAAACACTCAAAATAACTTTTAAGTATTTAAAAAAAAATCATATTTTAATCAAACAACAAACATGTTTTGGTTTAAATACATAAACAAAATAAAATCAGAAATAAAAAGTGATCCCAAATAACCTTTTAGTACATATCAGTATTACTCTGTACAACTGTCGCATGAGTATCGTCTAAAAATTATGCCAATTAATGTACTTTAATATCAATATCTTTTTTTATTTACTTGCACGACATCTTTGCATTCTCCACTAGTACAGTAAATAGGTGACTATCATAGTCAAACATGCAATATATAATCAATTCACTCGTATGCTTATCTTCTGACATATAGTATATAATACATGTATCTTTAATAACATGTTATAATTTTTACTAAAAGGAAACCTATTATTCATATATGATCAATAAAAAGAAGAGTATATAAATTAGGATAAGCTGATACATGAATTTTATATGTAAAAATTATAGCATGTTAATCCATGTCTTACTTCCTCTATATTCCTTTATAATATAAATATTGCATAAGTTATAAAGATATTTTGTTTCAATACTTACCTTTTTTTTATTCTTAATAGAATATGAAATGATTTATGAAGATTTAAATATAAAATAACTTTTTAAATTTTCATGAAATATTAAATACTTGTACAAATCAGAAGTTTCAACAAAGAAAAAAAATTGAAAAAACTAATTGTTTAAATTCTAATGTCGCGGTCTTAAAACTTATTTAGAAACTTTTATTAGTTCTACTATAGTTGAGCGGCCACTACTCTTTGTTTCCTCTTTGAATTCGTACTCTCTCCCATTTTTTGGATCTAAAAATTTTAGAGAGTAAAAATGTTGCATTAAAAAATTCAAAAGTTTGAAATTATCGGATGAGCTATTTTCTTTCAATCCTTGAAAATTTGAAATTGCTTGAGACAAAACAAAATATTATTACAAAAGTTTATTCCCCTTTGCTTTCGATTCCACCTTTGTACACGCACGAGGGCTCCTTACCCTCAACTTTGACCGAACACATGACACTGACGCTGGCTCCACTGCGTGACTACTGTTGCCACCTCCTCTTTGCTTGACAGAGACATCTTCGTCCGCACGCGTCGTTCAACTCTACAGGTAAGTCAATCTTGTCTCTGATTTATAGATCGAATGAACCTTTTGTTTTCCCGACTCCTCGCTTTTTCTTCTATTCGGTTCTCTTGGGTATTTGAAACAAAGCATTACACAAGTATTCATGTAATAACCTACTTGTAACCTCATTTATGATTTCCTTATATCATAATTTTCACAACAAACATTCATCACAGGCATTTCATATATCATATGCATGATTTATAGTAATGATTAATGTCAGACAATGATTTCATAAGCATGTTTATCTGATTTATAACACAATAAAATCATACTTATCGTAAGTGACAAATTAAGTTTGCATCCATACAATCTATGCATGTATTTATCGTAAGTGTCAAACATGCAATCATATGGAAACCTAGAGTTATTCTCTTAGGTTCTCTAGTGATTATTTCATCTGAATTGATAGAAAACTCTATGATGAGTTTCTCCATGCTCTACTCGAGCTCGCCATCTAGTTTAAACATCCTGGAATCTTGATTCTCTCAAAAATTCATGAAATATTAACCGCAGGTCTCAACTGAACTTTAAAAATATTTTATTTGCCAATATTTGCCTCAAACTGGCTTTTTTGCTTAGATCTTATTTTCTCAGTACCTTTCTAGCCCTTCTTCCTTCCTTCACCTTACCTTTCTCCGTTACGCGTGAAGTGGACCTAGCTGAGAGTGTAGCTGTCGGTTTACTAGCCTTGTGATTTGCTTATGCTTTGCTACAATTGCAGTAAATCACGAGGAAGGCTTCAATTTGCGCTAAATACCCAAAAAAAATCATAAGGAAGGAATGTAATGTCTTAAATATCAGTAAAGTAAGTTTCTTGATCACAAACATTTCCATGGAATCCTAAACCGCAAGCTTTGGCTCTCAACCGTTTGCCCAGCTCGCACCTGTCAGTGCCGGATCACAGAAATGCTTCAACCTTGTGAAACAGATCATAAGAGAGGAGAAAATGAAAGGATGCTTAAGTTATACGTATACATATAAATGATTTCACGTTAAT